GGAGAGTGGCGAGGCACCTACCTGGCTATGGTGGACACCCTCTTCATCACCTTGTTGGGCGCTGCATCTGGAAGGCCCCAGTTGGGGTAGTGCCGCACCAAGGAAGCTCGAAGCAGAGTCTGGCATGGCGGATCAGTCAGCCGCGGCATAGCTGCTTTGGGTTGTCCTTTGGACAGGAGTGCAGCGCCATAGCTGCTTTGGGTTGTCCTTTGGACAGGAGGGCAGGGCCCTCAGTAGTCCACCATAGCCTAGGCATGTGAGAGGAGGAAGAAGGAGGGAATCCATAGCTATGGTGGACTTGTTGTTGTTGCTGTTGCTGAGTCAGCAGTAAGAGGGAACTTCGGATATTGATTCTGGTTCATCCACTCATTGTTATTATTATTATTGGGAGAAGAATAAGATTGGCGAAGTGAAAGAACTACCTTGGCATGACATGGCCCTACACCAGATCCGCAATCTAGTCCCTTTCAAAGTTGACCCGTCAATAGAAGGCTACCATTGGATCCTCAATCCAACATGGAAGCCCAGGTGAAAGGAAAAAAACGGACAAAACGAAACCAAAGATCCCCCAAGTGAACACTGGATCAACCTAATATCACTCTGGAGAGCATGCTTCCCTCAGAAAGTAAGGTCCCCGCAGAATAGAGAGGAGGTGCTGAGACAGCCAGTGTTTGGAAACCCTTTACTCAAGGATCCTAACCAAAGACTGTGGTCCCTAAATTCCAAGGGCAAGAGGTGGAGAAAGTGGGTGAGCAACAGAATTTGGAAGGTTGAACACTTATGGAACTCGGACGAAAACAGATGGACCACAGCCCAGGAACTCAGAACCAAACTCAAAGGGTTACACAACTTAAAGGATCAACTTGAAAGCCTGCTGGAAAGCGTCCCACTAAAATGGGAACTCTTATTAAAAGCTAATACCAAATGGGTAATAGGGGACTGGGCAACAAAAAAAGAGTCAGCTCTCCCGGAGGAGGTCTACAAGTTGATTAAACTAATAGACAACGAAGGAAGTAGAGCGGAGTTTGTCGTCTTTGAACTGTTGGACACTCATAAGTCCTGGGCAAAACCGGGCAAGATACTTGAGCAAAGGACAATAAAGGAGCTCAAACACCTCAAAAAAGTCAGAGCATGCTCACATAGACTCGACAGGAAAAGGACCTCAATCAACGAACAAGAACAGAACAACACCTGGATTTATAGACCGGATCAAGACTTAAAAGATTTGGAAGTTGATCCAGCGGAATGGGGCTGGCTCATCCCCAGCAATGAAGGAGGGGCAAGAAAACTCACAGCACTCTACGATTACCAGGTCAAGGCAGGGTATAGATTAAGAAATCAAACGAAAGATCCCAAACCAATAATTTCAGAGAGATGGAAGAAAAATCTGGGCGCTAGCGCGGAATGGTTAGGCAAAATCCGATGGAGCCAGTATGCTAGCATGAGACCGACAAGGTTCAGAAGTCTACAATGGCTTATAATTTATTGGGCAGTGCCTGTCAACCAATGGCTGAGCAAAAGAAGAAAACAAGAAGAACCCCAACATCAAGCAGGCTGGTGCAAGCTAGCGAGAACACTGAGGAATCACTAACGCACTGCCTGATCTCTTGCCAGCGGGCACAAGAACTTTGGGGCAGAATCAAAACATTGTGGTCCAACCTAACAGGTCAGGCCTATCCCTCAAATATGAATTACTTACTATCAGGAAGAGAAGACGAAGGACTCCTCGAAGAAGAGGATACCTTTTTGGCAGACCTACTGAGAAGAGCAGCCCTGTGGGTAATCTGGAAAGCAAGATGTAAGGGTGTCTTGGCGGACCAAATCAGCAGTGTGGAAGAGAAGTGGACCGAAATCCAAACCATAGTCCAAACGGAGATAAAATCCCAATGGAACAGGGAACAAAAGGCACAGCAGAAAATTTTACAACCAGAGAAACGTGAACTGAGTCAGCAAAATTTCGAAAGAACCTGTCTCAGCAAGAACATAATTGCGGAAATAAAGAAAGGCTATCTGCACTTCAAAAACTGGGAGTACCAATGCCGGGTTCGGGTAGAAGGGACACAAGAAGTTGTGGTAAACTGACTAAATCCATGTAGGGAAGCTACGGACTACTGGACACGGGCCTCTGCCTTTGGGGACTCCTTTTCCCTTTCCTCACTCCCAGAATACCCCATCTAATCCCTCCACTGGACTTACTCCCCTGACCAACTCAAGAAGACCGAAGACTATGATCCGATAGGGCCAGGAAGGGGAAGCAGCGGAACGGGAGGGAAGCGAGACCCCGTAAAGCCAGGGAAGGGCGGCCCAACCCAAGAGAAAAGGTACAGTTGGAGAGGAAAACCACAGCACCGGCGGAAACCAGCTCCAGAACAGCAGAAGCCTAGGCAGCCGAAGACCAAGGACGAAGAGCGGGGAGAAAAAGCGAGATAAAATTCCACAGGGCGGCGACCAGTGGATGGTCTCGCGGTCGATCCATGGTAGTGTGGGTTCCCTGAAAAGACGGGCACAAGCCAGAGAAAGATAGGAGAATCCAGTGTGGGCTTATTACAGACAAGCAGCGGAAGCGAAGGGAACAAAGGATACCAGGCAGCAAGAACAAAAGACAGAGGAATGGGAGGAAAGATACAAAAATCAATTTCGGAGGATCCAGAACTGCAGGAAAGGGCCAGGAAAAGCTAACAAAACACTGGCTATTGATTGGGAAGGCGGCAAAGCTAGGAAAGGTTCGGCAAGCCTGGACAGAAGACGAGGAACAGCGAAAGAACGAGAGACTGAGGTTATACAAGAATTCGTTGTTTAACGGCAAGATTGCAGAGATACGAGAGGTCCGTATCTGCTGGAAAGAGTGGCATAACCCAGCGATAGAAAGGAGTTTCCAACAGCGGTTAACGGCAGAGGGATCAATCACTTCTTGTACACAAGATGACTACAACCGCCGGAAGACTGGCACTTTTCAAACTCAGGAAGAGACCATAGACAACAGATAACAGTGGATGGGCAAAACACCTCCAGATCAGACTCCCACTGGAGACTGGCAAGCCTAAACTTCTACAGCTATGGATGGATAACAGGGAGAGGGACCAAAAGACCAGAACAAGGGGAAAAGGTTCTCTAAATGGGATGTTGGAGTAAGGGTACACGGGTGGAGGTTTTAAGGTTCAGGGTTTTAGTGGTGATTTAAAGAAAAGGGGACAGATAAAATGGGACAGGGGATATCACGCCTCACGGGCAGGACAGTTGAGTGGGGGATGAGGTAGGCCAGCAGGGACTAAGGAGGAGCTCTTTCTAGGTGGCTTAGCACTTTCTGGCAGATCTGGCCTCCAGATCTGAGAGGAAAGAGAGAGACATGGCAAGCTGGCAGTTAATCCTCTACCAAGGTGGAGCAATCAATGCTGTTCAGGGGTCCTTCAGCCGAACGGAAGGAAGCGTGTGTGAGTTTCAATGTAAAGTATATTCTGACTTGCCGGTGGAATAGGAACCGGACTGACGCTCCCCAGAATAGAACGGAGCCAGGACCATAAGGCCCTGTATTAAAAAAAAAAAAAAAAGATTGGCGAAGTGAAGGAGGAGGAGGAAGGTGGAGAGAGAAGGGGGAATTGTCATCGGTCTTGCTGGTGTACATCTTCTTCTTCTTCTTCTTCTTCTTTCTCTCTCCTCTGGTCTCTATCTCTTTGCAAGTGCTTTCATTTCTTTCGCAATTGGGTGGCATTGTCTTTCATTGTGAATTTGCACTTTGGGAATGACCAGGATCGTAACACTTCCCCACATTACGGCCCAGGAAACCTTGACAGCATTGATCGCTTCCCTCCGGCGAGGATTGGCTGTCGATTAAGCCCGTAACTTGACGCATACCCCTCCCCTGCACTGTGATTATTG